GGAAACAAAAGATTAAAAGCTGAGAACTATTTCCAACTAGGTTGGGCCACCTTGCCTGGCTGCTAGATGTCATTCTGAGCACCCTCCGGAACTGATAGAGAGTTTTATCCAACCTCCACACACCCTCAGGGACAGGGAAGAGCTTGATGCAGTTTGGGGTTAGACATGGGAGGGCCTGGGTTCAACTTGCAGTACCCCAAACCAACAAAAACCTAACCTCAGCTAAATCAAAGTGTGGATTGTGCTCTAGTCTCAAAATGTTCATTCTGTTACAACTTTATTTTTTTATTTTCACTGCCGGAGGCCTGAAACCCAGGGCTTTGTGCGTGCAAGGCAAGTGCTATCATCAGGTTATCTGTGCAGATGTCACTAGGTTTCAAATGGAGATTATTCAAAAAGGTATTATTAATCTCCTGTGACCTAGCCGGACGTGGTGGCTCACGCCTGTAATCCCAGCACTTGGGAGGCTGAGGCAGGAGGATTGTTGCAAAGTCGAGACCAGCCTGGGCTACAAAGCGAGCTCAAGGACAGCCTGAACTACATATTGAGACTCTGTCTCAAAAAGACAAAAAAAAAAAAAAAAAAAAAAAATCTCCTGTGACCTTGACAATGGTAAGAAGATGATTTGAAGTAATCAAGACCTAGTTTAAAAAAAAAAAAGACCTAGCTTCTTCCCTGGAGCATGGCTTTGGATAAATTACTTCACTCTAAAACTGAATGTATTAAAAGCTGGGCGTGGTGGTGCACTCCCACAGTCCCAGCACTTGGGAGGCCAAGGTAGGAGAATCATTTGCAAATTTGAGATCAGCCTGGGCTACAAAGTGGTCCCAAGGCCAGTCTGAATTGCATAAGGACACCTGTCTCAAAAAGATAAAAGTCAATCAATCAATCAATCAATAAAACTGAATATCATCTGTGATGGACATATTACCTTTCTGCCTAATTCATGAGACCAACTAAGATAATGTTGTAAGGCCATTTGTGGATTGCAGGGGGAGAGAACCAGGCCTCACCAGGAGGTGATCCTCACCTGGAAACCAGCACCATGTGCAGGCCCCTGCTGGAGTAGGGACAGCCAGACCCAAGCCTCTCTCCGTGAAGCTTTTGCAGACTGTGGGGTGGGGTGGACAAGGCCTCACCAGGAAGGGATCTCCACCTGGAAAACATATCATTTTTATTGTTTTATTGGGTTGGGTTTCATTCTGTTTTGTTTATGTTAAATCTAATGACATAAGCAGCTATTTAAAAAATAGCAAGACATAGTATGGCAACCATTTTGGATTTACTATTGTCTTGTTTTGAAGTCCTTTATTGCATTCATTGTTTTGTTTTTATTGTTTCTATTCTATTCTGTTCTGTTCGATTTTTACCATGTCCAAAGGTATCTGTAGCTATTTTGAAGACAAAAAAAGGCATTGTGGTAACTTTTGTTGATTTTATAAGGTTTTTGTTTTATTTTGTTTTGAGATAGGTTCTCACCGTGTAGTTCAGGCTGGCCTTGAGCTCACTTTGTAGCCCAAGCTGGTCTCAAACTTGCAATGATCCTCCTGCTTCAGCTTCCGGAGTGCTGGGATTACGAGGTGCATCACCACGCCTGGCCTCTTTTGTAAGGTTTTGAAGTCCTGTATCACTTATACTGATTTATTTTGATTGGTTTTATTCTGTTTTATTTCCCTTGGTTTTATCCTCTTTAAAATAAAAAAAAAAAGATAATATAGTGAGATGCTTTGCAAACTCAAAAGCACTTCACAGTGGCAAGGTGGCACTTGTCTGTGAACTACACAGTAAGATGCTGTCTCAAAAAGAACCAAAATACCAAGGTTTCATATATTTAAGACACTATGATTAACCCATTTTCTGCCTACTCAGAGGCAGCACTCTGAACTTACTCAGGAAGAGCAAAGACAGGATATCTGTGGCTTCTACTGCTCTCCCCTCCTTCACATGGCCAAATGTTGCAATTTTCAGTTGTCTGCTTTTCTGCTATCCTAGTCTCTTTTTGCTGTGTCAATTCTCATTGTTACCAGTGTTCTTAAGTTAAAAGCACCTTTTTTTCTCTTTTCATTTGCAGTCAATTGTATGCTATGGATTTAGAGAGTACTAGACACAGGTGTACATTAAGAGAAAACAGGGGCTGGGGATTTAGCTCAGCGGCATAAGCACCTGCCTTGCAAGCAGGCAGTCGTGAGTTCAATCCCTGGTACCGATAAAAAAGGAAAAAGACAAAAAAAAAACCTTCCTTATGCGTAAATGAACATTATTACATGTGACTATCACAGCATTACAATCTCTCCCTTTCCCTTAGCTCTTGTTGGATATGTTTTGAATTTGTACTTTGGGAAAACATTTACTGAGCACAATAAAGCAGAATCTCTGTCTGCATCCAATCTACAGTCCAGTGGGAAGGCATTTACGGAAATCATCATCATTTATGAAATCATCAGCAGGAGTGTAGTTCTAGAGGACCATGTAACAGAAGCTAAGGAAGTAGAGGCAGCTTCACAAATCAGGGTTTTCAGAGGAAATGTGGGGGAGAATGTATGTGTGGAAAATTAGTTCTAGCAGATGGATAAGAAATGGGAAGGTCCCCAGGATGCAGGAACAACCGGCAGGAGGCAGGGAGACAGACCACCACAGAGAGTACCACTAGGCGTGATAGCACACACCTGTATTCCCAGCACTCAGGAGGCTGAGGCAAGAGGATTGTTTGCAGCTCCAGTTCAATTTGGGCTACACAGTGAGTTCAAGGCCAGTCTACACTACATAGTGAGACCCTGCTTCAAAAACAAACATATGTAAGAGAAAGCCAAGACTTAAGCAGAGCATAGGAAGTGACAGGAGACAGACAAAGCAGGAGAGGAAAATGGTTAGAGGGAGCAGACTTCTGGGATCAGAAGTCAATACTGTATGTGCATCTTCTTGTAGTTTCATTGCCTATTTATTTATTGGGATTGAACCCAAAGCCTTTGCACTTAGTTACATTTCCAGCCCATTTCTATTTTTATTTTGAAACAAAGTCTTGCTAAATTGGCCAGGCTGGGCTCAAAGCTGAGATCCTCTTGCTTCAGCCTCCAAGAGTGATGGGATTTACAGGCATGGTTGGCTGCCTTTGTTATTTTCAAAGTAGACTACATTTCACTCTCTGTCTGTCTGTCTCTGTCTCCAATCTGTCTTCATCTATCTTTCTTTCAGTATTGAGGATCAGACTCAGGGCCTTATTAATGCTAGGCAATTACTGTACCACCGAACTTTCCTCCCAGCCCCTGTGTATTTCTTACAAAAAGGTCTTTTCTCTTCCCATGATTTTGCTAGTGGCACCTAGTATTATCCCCAGTGCGTTCATAGAGCAAACTGAAGTAGAATGAAGCCATGTTAAGCTGCTCAAGTTATTAACTCATAAGCTTGTGAGTTTTGTTATTATAAAAAAAAAAAAACATGTTTGAGAAACAAAAAAGGTCGTCATGCTACCATTTGCTAGCTTTGTAATTTGGGGGCAAGTTATTCAACCTGCTTAAGCCTCCACTTTTTTATCATCAAAAAGGAAAGAGGGGCATTTTATCCATGAAGTGTTATGAAGATTAAATGAGATGTTTAAACTGGGTGTGGTGGTGTATGCTTGTAATCCCAGCATTTGAGAGGCTGAGGCAGGAGGATTGCCTGGAGTTTGAAGCCAGCCTGAGCCACACAGCAAAACCCTATCTCTCTTTTTTAAAAAACCCTATCTCAAAATAAGTAAGTAGGGGCTGGGAATTTGGCTCAATGGTTTAAGCACTTCCCTGGTAAACCCAAGATCGTGAGTTCAATCCCTGGTGGCAAAAATAAATAAGTAAATAATAAAAAATAAAGGAAATACATGTCATCTCACAGCACACCCCATAATGCCAGCTCACCTTACCTCTCACCTCCTTTCTTAGAACCCTTAGCCCATTATCTTCCATCTGCCCCTATACCTTACTTCATAACTATCTTCTCTCCTCTGCATTTGCTAAGCCTGCCTCTCCATTGGCTCCATTTTTAGCCTACAAATTGCCCTCAACTAAAAGCTAAAACCAGTCCCTCATTCAATCCAGATCTCCATTCTTTTAAGCTTTCCATTTCTCTTCATCTTTCTGCATCAAACTCCTTAAAAGAGAGTTGTTAACATTCCCAACCCAAGTTGATCCCAGAGCTAGAGTCAGCTCTGGATCTCAGGAGACAAGACCAACCACTGTTTCCAGGAAGGACCAAGGGAGTGAGGCATGCTGAGCACCTTGGGATACTCAACTTCACACAACCAAGCAACTTTCCAGGCTTTCCTCTTCTGGAGTTCCTTTCTTACAGAATCATTGTACCCACAGGCTGGTCTTAGCTTAGTGGTAGAGTACATGGCATGCCTGAGGCCCTAAATCTTCACCATCACAATAAAGTACTTTATCAATATCCTCCCCAACTACAAATTTATTGAAGCATCTTACATTCTCAGTGAGCTAATTACCTTACTTTCCTGATAAACATTTCTAGTGTTTCCTCACTGTCTACAGGAAAGCCCTGTACTCTTTTAGTTTATTTTTATTTATTTATGTTTGATTATTTTCTGGAGGCAGGGTCTCATCATGTAATTCAGACTGGCCTTTAACTTGAACCAATCCTCCTGCCTCAGCATCCAGAGTGTTGAGATTATAGGCATGCACCACCATATCTGGTGCAAGGCCTGAACTCTTGAGTAATTTCTTTAATGTCAGTCACTATCTTAGCTTTTTCTTTCTTCACTTATCTCTTAAAGAATGTATACTGTACATATGCAGAATAAGCCACTACTTCGTGAAGGTGTCTCATATTGGGGTTATTCACTGTACATAGTTATGCAGTTCCCATTATCTGGGAATCACTTCTTTCCAATCTCTGGCTTTTAAATAGTTTAAATTGCCGGTCATGGTGACACACACCTATAATTCCAGCACTGGGGAGGCTGAAGCAGGAGGACTGTGTGTTTAAGGTCAGTCTAAACTATTCAACAAGAATCGGTTTCAAAAAAAAAGTTTATTTTCTCTCTTTTTCTGTGACAGGGTCTGGTTATATTTCACAGGTTGGCCTTGAATTTGCAATGGTACCAATCAGGACAATTGAAGCTTCTTAAAATATTCTCGTAATTCTTTAAACTATTGAAGTTAATGGGAGAGCTGAGGGTTATTGCTTAGGGGTAGAACACCTGACTAGCAGGTTAAGAGGCTTGAAGCCACCAGCCCCAGCTAGATCACAAGACTCTTTTTTTTTTTTCTTTTTCTTTTTTTGTCTTTTTGGTTTTTATCGGTACCAGGGATCAAACTGACGACTGCCTGCTTGCAAGGCAGGTCCTTATGCCGCTGAGCTAAATCCCCAGCCCCACAAGATTCTTGATTGCAAACAGTTTTGCCTCGCTCAAGAACCATGACTTCTCATTGGCGGGTCCTTAGAGGTTTGTTCCCGTAGCGCTTCGGTGCAGTGCCGACACCTGCTGGTCACAGGTGGTTTGGCAGCCCCGGCCTCCGCATTTCCGCCCTCGGGCACTAATTGGCGGGATATCTACCAGATGCTTTCCAGGCTCTGGAAGATGCTTGTGATAATGTTGTCCCACAGTGCCACCCTTTCAAGCTTGCTAACTTCCCCCAAGAGCCCCCAACCCATCAACTTGGACTTTGCATCCTCCCCAGTACCACAGATACAGAATACAGTCTTAAGGAGATGGGTGACAAGAAAGAAGGGAACACTTTGAGAGACGGGAGATATGCAACCCCTTCTCCTCACCCCAAAGAGCCAAGGGTGTTTCCAACAAACCCCTATTCCTCTAGACCTCTGCCTTACTTCTAGGTTTCTCTTGGGCCATGGGCTGCTTGGTGCTGGTGGCCCGGAGGTAGAGCGGCCTGGGTAGGCGGAGCCTGCGGGGTGGGGCCAAGCCAAAGTGCCTCTCGCTAGGCGCTTCTCCATTCTGTCAGCTCTCAGGGACATCCACGCCAAGACTGGCACCCGTTGTGGCAGGTGAGGGACCGTCCGTGAGGGTGGATTTGGGAGCATGGTGGTGGAAGGGCCCCGAACTCCTTCAGCTTTAACTTTCCATATCATGGAGGTCTCACTTGTAGAGTTCTTGGGCTCCCAGTTCAGCTTCCTTTTCCTTGGGGCAAGGCAGCCTTTGAAAGAAAGAGCTGGCTTGGGATGGGGTTAAGTGTAGGGCTGAGGTACAGGGGTGGGCATGGGTGTGTGCCAAATCAAGGCAGTCTTGAGGTGTGGAGGGAGCTGGGTGTGGACCAGTGGGAGAACAGAAGACCTTTGGGAGGGCCCAGGAGACGGAAAGAGGGAGGAAACAGGAGGCAGAAAGAGGACAGGGGGCAAAGTCATGCTCCCCAGAGGGGCAATGGAGAGCCGGGAAACAGGAAGGCTGAGGAGGAAGGCAGGCTCACTGGAGCAATCTAGTCTTCCGGCCTCCTCCAGCTGCGGAGCCTGGTCCAGAAAGCCCCAGGGCAGGCCAGCAGCAGATGGGGGCTGCAGGCTCCTATGGAATGCGTCAGCGGGAAGGAAAAACCCTTCTGGTTACCCACTCCCCTGCCTCTTCAGACTCCCAGTTTCTTTCGGAGGAGAGGGCGAGGCTCTCCAAACTGCGGTTGCAGCCACATCCTGCAAGAGCAGGGGAGGGGGAAGTAAGAAGCAAAACAACTAAAAGAACCACAGGAGAGGACTGTGGGGTGGGAACCTGGACCTCTGCAGTAGACGGCCCCGCAGGGTCTCGAGTGCAGCTGGGAGCCCGCAGACCTGCAGGCCTCCTGCCCTGGAGGGGCTGGCTCAGCTCCCATGCCCGCAGCCACGCAGAGAGCAGTCCAGGGAAACATGTTTTGGGACTACTTGACCTGAAGCTCATTTTTATCATTTACCCATGACTCCAGCCAAGGTGTTTCATTTTTCTTAACTTCAGTTTTCTCACTGCAAAGTGGGGATATCTGTTTATAGAGCTGGAAAGAGATGCAGTTCACAAAAAGCAGCACTTGGCACACAGCAATCTCTGAGTAAATGTTAATTATTCTTATCAGAACTTGCAGGACCCCTATGCTTCTCACTTCTTTAAAGGAAACAGTTGACATGGGATTTTGGAGTTAGGAAGTCAGCTGTGTTTGATCTCAGGTAAATAATTTAACACAAGCCTCACTTTACGGGGAGCAATGCCTATACCTCTCCGGGATGCAGGGTGCACAATCAGGGTCACAAGGTGGCTACGGGAAGGATCACAGCTAAGCCCTTACGGCAGCCCCCGCTTCCCAACCTCACCTTGGGGCTGCCTTTCCTGTGGCCACTCCTCAAACAGGGTTAGCGTTGTTCCACTGGCTTGCTCTGGAGAGCAAGAATCCCTACAACACTAAGAAAAAAAGCAGGTGCAAGGCAGCAAGACACAGAGGACATGGGAGCTTAGGGGAAACAGAGGGCAAGGTAATCAAATCACAGAAAAGGGAAAGCCTTATTTTGTTTGTTTTTTTGAGACAGGGTTTCACTGTGTAGTTCAGGCTGGCCTTGGCCTTGCGGCAGTCCTCCTGCCTCAGCCTCCCAAATGCTAGGATTACAGGCGTGTGCCACCACACGCAGCGTCATTTCTCTCTTTCTTAGGAGGTCTGTTGCCTCTCTTCTAGCAACCAACCACCTCCCCTCCCTGGGAACCATGGAGTCCTTCAGTTCAAAAAGCCTGGCACTGCAAGCAGAGAAAAAGCTACTGAGTAAGATGGCGGGTCGGTCTGTGGCTCATCTCTTCATCGATGAGACGAGCAGTGAGGTGCTAGATGAGCTCTACCGAGTGTCCAAGGACTACACACACAGCCGGCCGCAAGCCCAGCGGGTCATCAAGGACCTGGTCAAGGTGGCCGTCAAGGTGGCCGTGCTGCACCGAAATGGCTGCTTTGGTCCTGGGGAGCTGGCCCTGGCTACCCGCTTCCGCCAGAAGCTGCGGCAGGGTGCCATGACAGCGCTCAGCTTTGGGGAGGTGGACTTCACCTTCGAGGCTGCTGTGCTGGCTGGCCTGCTCACTGAGTGCCGGGATGTGCTGCTGGAGCTGGTGGGGCACCACCTCACCCCCAAATCCCACGGCCGCATCCGCCATGTGTTTGATCACTTCTCCGACCCAGGCCTACTCACAGCCCTCTACGGGCCTGACTTCACCCAGCACCTTGGCAAGATCTGTGATGGGCTCAGGAAGCTGCTAGATGAGGGGAAGCTCTGAGAGCTCTCAGAGCCTCCAGCCGGGCTGACTGGGAAAAACACACACCAAGGGCTTTCTAACCCTGCTCTAGGCACTAATGCTTTTCAACCCTCAGGCTTCGATCTCTCCCAAGGGAGCCTCACCTCTGAGACCACCCGCACCCGAACTGCTGGAGAAGGTGCAGCACTGAGCGGGGCAGGAGGCTCACTCCCACTACAGCCCCAGCACAGGAAACAGCTGCCTGAAAAAGGTGAAGTGAAACTTGGATCTCCCACACTTCTCCCACAAAGGATATCTGAAACAGGGAAGCCCCTCCGCTACAAACCAAAGGGGACAGAACCCACAGAACCCTTCTGGGGACACTAAAGACAGAAGAGGGATGGTGACACTTAGAGACTTCCTAGGCTTCCAGCTCTAGACAGAGCATGAACAGATACCAGCGGCTGTGTCCCAGGGTGCAGGAAGAGTGGTGAGGGCAGGGGAAGAGTCTTACAGGGGAAATAAAACTCCTGAAACATGGTCAGGGCTCAGTGTTTAATCTCTCCAGCTGCTACACCTTCGGGTCATCACAGAGGAAAGGTAGTATACAGAAGACACCCTATCTCACCTCCACCACGGCCACACAGGAGACTGAGGCGTATCTCTAGTACTACTGAGGTTCCCTTGCCTACTGCTTTGTTTGAGAAACAAAAAACAAACTGTACTGCAGATCAGTGCTACAAGTCACAAAAGAACACACAATGAGAAGCAAGGCATAGATAGGCTCTGGGGGGAAGGCGTGCAACTAAGTCTCCCAAGCCAACCTCTCCTCTTCGAATCCCACAGGAATCTCCCTCTGCCCTTCAGCCCCACTGCAGGCTGCGCAGAGAACAAGTCAGAAGGGTGAACTAGGGGAATGGAGAGGCCATATCCCTACTCTGCTGCTCTTTCTCACAGCAAGAGTTGTGAAAAAGTTACAGGGAAATGGTTAGTCAAGACTGAATCCAAATCCTTGAACTTACCATCCTTGGTGTGACACCAGATTGCAGAGTCCCTATGCTCAGTAACATGCTCAGAAAGGAGCTGGGGAAGATGAGGAACCAGCAGCTACTGGCTTGGCTCCAGGCTACAGAAATCCCATGTTTCAGCTAAGAGTGGGGAAGAGAGTTAGATATAGCAAATAAATATTACTCAATATAGCACCAAATAAATTAGGGAATATTGTTGGAGCTGGGGAGTTGAAGGGGAGTGTCTGCTTCCCTGCTCTAAGGGCAAAAAACAGTGAAAAAGAAAAGAAAGGCAGCAGGGATTAAAAAAAAAAAAAAAAAAAAAAAAAAAAGCCACCTGAATCTAAAGGACAACTCCAGATGTAGCCAAGAACTGGGAAGGGATTTAGTTCTCATCTCCTGCTTTTACCCCAAAAATGTGCTCCAGCTGGCAATGGACAAGAGCCTGGGGGAGACAGCTGGAGTAGAGGGAGGCAGGCTGGAAAGCCATGTTTCTGAGCCTCACCTCAGGCTCCTCTCTCCCTCAAGTTGTTCTTTCCAAATTCTGCTTCTCTCAGTCCATTCAGGGAACATCAGAGTTTGAAGATTTCATCCTCCTGGTCCCGTAGCATCCGAGTCCGAGAGGTCCGAGTCAGCGGCACAGGACCTAGGACAGCTCGTTGCTGGGTCCGAGGGGAGCTCAGGTGGAGATGTGCGTCCTCCCTGGGTACCCTGTAGGTGAGGAAAAGGGGAAAGAGCCCCAGATCAATGGAAGAAACTGAGAATGGGCCAGGAGGTATGGGAAACTTGTCTCCTCTCCTGCTTCATGAATTTTCTGCTCCAAGACAGTCTCAATATCATCTGAAAATCTTAGCCCTAATGTTCCTCCTGTATGGTTAAGAAAGCAGCAAGAACAATCAACTGTTCTTCTCCGATGAGAACATGGAACCCAGCTCAGCCCATCCTGGGAGCCATGGGCTACGCACTGCATCGTGGGGCCTCCCAGGCAAAGGTACCACCCTGCTTCCCCTGGTCCTACGCTTACTTACTTGTGTTTGTAGGAGGTTGGACAGGAGTCTGTGGAGCAATTTAGGAGGACTCAGTCAAGACTCACCCACTTTCTCCTTTGCTCAGCTTCTGTGTGGCGACCTTCTTTGACAGGCTGATCTGTGAGTCCAGCTTCTTAAGGAAATCTGAGGCAGAGAGGTCATGGGTGGGCCCAGGGGGGTCCTGGCCAGGTGTGGGAGGGACACTGTCACCTTTGGCAGGTTCTGAACCCATTTCTTGTTTGCTTCTCTCTGCTGAAGATGGCCTTGCTTCATTTTTCCTTGGGTGCACCTCTTCCTCTCCATCTTTCTCTTCTTCAGAATCCAAACCATTGAACAGGTCTCTGGGCTCTGTCAGGATGGGGATGTAGAGGGTTTTCTTCAAGAAGATGGAGTCATTAGTATAAAGGCGGTTTGCACGCTTAATCTGTTCCATCTTTAAAAAAAAAAAAGCCACCAAAATTAATGACAGTAACAACATCCATCTTACATAGAATCTCACGCTTTTAAAAGTAATTATATCCAGCATTTGGGAGGCTGAGGCAGGAGGATCACTGTAAATTTGAGGCCAGCCTGGGCTACATAACGAGTTCCAGCCAGTCTGAACTACATGGTGAGGCCCTGTCTCAAAAAGCTTTAAAAAAAAAAAAAATAGTTAGACAGTGATATCAGTCACTTATTCAGTGATGAATATTTACAAAATAAATATCTGATAAAAGAAATAATTCATAGGGCTAGGGATATAGCTCAGCAGCACAAGCACTTGTCTGGCAAGTGCAAGATCCTGAGTTTGATTCTCAGTTAAAAACAAAACAAAACAAAGAAATAATTCATACAGTACAACAAACATTTCATGAGGAAGCAAAAAGGCCTAAGATTCTAGTTCTATGTTCATCGTTAACTTGCCAGGTAAATTTAAGCAAGTAGCTTAATCTTTCTGAGCCTCTACCTTTACCTTTTTTTTTTTTTTTTTTTTTTGTCTTTTTCTTCTTATTGGTACCGGGGATCGAACTCACGACCACCTGCTTGCAAGGCAGGTGCTTATGCCGCTGAGCTAAATCCCCAGCCCCCTACCTTTACCTTTAACAGTGGCTCACAATGAGGTCTCAGGCTCTGCAGGGGCCCTCAAGGTCAGAACTATTTTCCTAGTAATAAAATGTTATTTTCCCTTTCATTCTCAGTTCTCATGAGTGTACAGTGTTTTCCAGGGGCTGCATAATGTGTGATATTGCAACAGATTGAATGAAGAAGCAGTTGGAGCAGCTGGGTGCAGTGGCAGATGCCCATAATCCCAGCATTTGGGAGATTTGAGACAGGAGGCTCACCACAAGCCAGCCTGGGTTACAAAGTGAGTTTAAGGCCAACTTAAACTTCATAGCAAGACCCTAACTCCGAAAGACATATACATTCTCTCTCTCTCTCTCTCTCTCTCTCTCTCATCTCACACATACTGAACCTTCTCAACTGGGTTATCCCAACAATTTCACAACTCTTCCTCTTTCATTTCTACTCATCTTCCTCTTGACATCTAGAAAACTGTCTCTTATTAACCCACTAGCCTGTTTATTATTATAAACCTCCCATGGCTTGTGACTGGCTAAGAAATAAAAGTCCAAATCAGCATTGAAGGGCTTTCTCAATCGAGCTCCCAACGGAAATGTCTAGCCTTGTCTCACTTTCATTACTTATGTAGTTTGCTGTGCTTTTCATTTTACTTTGAAGATTCCATCATCTTTCATACAGTTGAGTGTTTATTCATCCTGAAATGCCTCTCCCTACTCCCTTTCCTGCTTGGCAAATTTCTACTCATCAATTATCATATCTTTGTGTGACCCTCTTCAGGGCTCGCAATGCAGCCTGTAATGACAACAAAAAAATAATAGTTGTAGGGCTGTAACAATAGTTGCCCTGTGCTTGTGGGGGCTGAGGGTGTAGCTCAGAGCAAAAGTCCTGGTTCAATCTCCAGGGCTGCAAAAAACGAACTTGCCCTATGCGCTAGGGTACAGCTCTGGTAGATTGCTTGCTTAATACTGTAAGACTCTGGGTTTGATCTCCAGTACTGCAAAATACAAGATCAAATGCAAACAAACAACAATTCTGCCCTGTTATATGGTTAAGTCACTTCTTTGCTGAAACCATGTAAATCTTTTAAGGGCAGGAATGGTAACCTGCTGTCTCTGTAACCCAAAGGTGTGCCTTAGAATCCTACAGAGGTTGGCACAGCACAGGGGCTTATAAAAAGTACTAATTTATTTATGAATAAGTAAATAGATAATAAATACAGTATCTCAGATAGTTTATTAGTATTTTATTCTCAGAAGCCAGTGTCATTTTTACTATGTCATTTTACATTGGTACCAGTGTGGAAAATACTATTTCTTATATCTTATATCTTAAATATAAGAGCTTTTTCTGTCCTGAGGCAAGACTATTACAGTAAACTTGACAAGTAAAATCTTACAAGGCCTTTAAAAATAAAATCAGATGAACTGGAATTATTTTATTTCTTTTTTTGTTTGTTTTTTATCTTGTTATGCAGTTCTGGCTATGTGGACTGGCCTTGAACTATGTAGCCCAGGCTGGCCTCAAACTTCATAGCAAACCTCTTGCTTTAGCCTTTCAAGTGCTGGTATTATAAATGTGTGCCACTACATCCAGCACTTTATTGTTTTATTTTGCTTTTTGAGACAGGGTATCAGTTTGTAATTCAGACTCACAGTGATGTTTCAGCCTCAGCCTCCAGAGTACTGAGATTATGAGCATGTGGCACCATACTCAGCCTTTACTTTTTTTTTTTTTTTTTATCGGTACCAGGGATCGAACTCATGACTGCAGGCTTGCAAGGCAGGCGCTTATGCCGCTGAGCTAAATCCCCAGCCTTTTTACTTATTTTTTGAGACAGGGTCTTGCTGTACACTCCAGCCTGGCCTAGAACTTAAAACCCTTCTGCCTCAGTCTCCTAAATGCTCAGATTACAAGCGCGCACCACCATGTCTGTCAGCAATCTGAAGGATTTTAAAAAGTTAGAATTGTCTTGCACTTCCGAACATGCCAAATATTTTAATGCTATCAACTTTATTTTGCCTAGATTATCTCATAGATCTCCTCCAGTTCCAAGATGTTAGGAATACTCTGTGAGTTTTGTGGTGCTTTTATTATTTGCCAGAGGGATCCTAGTCCACCAATCTAGTTTTTTTCTTGAGAGGTTCTTAAGAGTCTAGTAACATAATAGAGAGATTAAAGCCGGGTGTGGTGGCTCATGCCCATAATCCCAGCACTGGGGCGTTGAGGCAGGAGGATCATTGTGAGTTTAGAGTTCAGCCTGGGCTACTAAGTGAACTCAAGGCTAGCCTGAACTACATAGAGAGACCCTGTCTCAAAAAGAAAAAAAAAAAGAGAGAGAGATTAAAAGGAAAGACTTTAGGCTGGGCATGGTGGCACATGCCTGTATTATGAGCGCTTGGAAAACTGAGGCAGGTGAATCAGTGCAAGTATGAGATAAGCCTGAGTTACAAAGTGAGCTCAATTCCAGCCTGAACTGCATAGTGAAATCCAGTCTCAAAAAGACAAAAAAAAAAAAGTAAGAATTTCAGAATGAGTCAGTCAAGTCTGAAGCCTAACTCCATCAGTAGTAATACTAGTTATATAGGTAATGGCAAGTTATCCTATCTCCCTGTCTGTTTCCTCATCTCTCCCTCTTTTTTGGTGGTACTGGGATCAACCTGAGAGACTACACACTGAGCTACCTCCCCAGTCCTTTTATGTTTTTAAAACATAGCCTCAGTAATTTGCACAGGCTGGGCTTCAGTTTACAATATTATTCCCTTGGTTTCCCAGAGTGCTGGTCTCCTGTAGGTATGTACCACTGCACTAAACTTTACTTATTTGCAGTACGGGGGATTAAATCCAAGGCCTTTAAACTGAGCAACACCTTCAGTCTTTATATTTTTATTTTGAGACAGACTCTCACTATGCAGTTCAGGCTGGCCTTGAACTCACTAGGTAGCCTAGGCTGGTCTCAAACTCACAGCAGTCCTCCTGTCTCTGTTTCCCAAATGCTGGGATTACAGCTATGTACTACCATACCTGGCTCCTCATCTTTAAATGGGACTAATTATACCTACCTCATATTCTTATAAGGAAAACATGCAATAATAGATATATAAAGCCTGGTATATATTGTGTTTAATAGATAGGTCGGTAACAATTTAAGCAGTTACCATTATTTAATACACTTTCTTCATTTTATAAAGGGTAGACAAACTGAGGTACCAGACAGGAGCAGTGATTCAACCCACAAGCAGAACCACAATACAAAACTCTTCTTAACTAGACTACAGAGTTTTTCCAGAGCTATAAGACAGTTTCACAAACCAGGCATTGTGGCATATGCTAGTAATCCTAGCTACTCATGAGGTTAATATAGGAGGACCACAAATTGGAGGCCAGCCTAGGCAACTTGTGACAGCCTCTCTCAAAATGCTGGTATGCAGCTTAGTGGCCGAGTATTGCCTTAGCATGCAGGAGGCTTTGGGTTCAATCTCCAGCATGGGGCAGGGGTTCTTAATAATCAGTTGCTGGTTCTCTGCATGACTTAGTGGGGTTTTTTTTGTTTGTTTGTTTGTTCGCTGAGGATTTAATTCAGGGCTTTGCTCATGCTAGGTACATAGGTGCTCCAGCCCTTACTATTTAAGACAGTCTCCCCAAATCCTTAAATTACCCAGGCTGGCCTCAAACTTATGTTTGCCACGCCCAGCTCCCAGTTCTCTGAACACAACTTATGAGCCCTTGCTAAGACCGAGGTTGCTCTGCACTTTTTTTTTTGTCTTTTTCGTTTTTTATCGGTACCGGGGACCGAACTCACGACTGCCTGCTTGCAAGGCAGGTGCTTATGCCGCTGAGCTAAATCCCCAGCCCCTGCTCTGCACTTTTCATACCCACTTCTTTGCTTAGGCCATCCTTTGACTTGAAACATTCTTTTATTCTTTCTCTTTCTCTTGCTGTCTCTCTCTCTTTTTTTTAAATTTCAAAACTGGGGATTAAACCTAGGATCTTTTGTACTGGGCTATGCTTATAGCCGTTTTTATTTGTTTTGAAAACAGGATCTCATTAAGTCACTAACTGCACAGGCTCAAATTTGCAATCTTCCTGTCTCAGCCTTCCAGAGTGTTGGCATTACGTGAGTGTGCCATCATGCCTGGTGGAAATATTTTCTTCCCTACATTCCCAATTTCCATGTGTGGAAAATCTAGTCACATTTTCATCCATTCAAAACAGTATCTTTTGGGCTGGGGATTTAGCTCAGTGGCACAACTGCCTGTCTGGCAAGCATAAAGTCATGAGTTCAAATCCCAGTGCCAAACAAAACAGTATCATTTTGATAAGAAAAGATGGCAACAAATAAGACAGATTTTTAGAGATTGTGAAGGGAATGAAGAAGGCAGAAGGAAAGTAGGAAATGGGGGCACAATTCAAAACATGTTATTTTCACATACTAAAATAGATTTCATTGTTCTGTATTACTAATATGTGCCCCAAAAGAGGTGGTCTCTTCATCTTTTATTTGCTGGTAACTATTAAATCTAAAGATAGGAAATTAAAACAGTTCTACTGGTTATGGTTTTAGAGGCCTGTAATCCCAGCACTCGGGAGGCTGACTGAGGAGCATAACAGTGACTCTGAGGCCAGTCTGAACTACATACCAAGATACAGTCTCAAAAAACAGAAAAGTATGTGTTGTGAGGTGATGGTTAAAGATGTGTGTAGTTCAGTGGTAGAGTGCCCCTGGGTTGTACCCTCAATAACACCTCCCCCAAAAAAAGAAAATAAATAGTTTCTACTCTAAAGGAGCACAGAGGTCACTGGAAGGCAAAAATCTGTAATAAATAAGTTTTTTTTTTTTTTTTTTTTTTTTTGGTACCTGGGATCGAACTCAAGACCTCAAGCTTGCCCAGCAGGTGCTTGTGCCACTGAGCTAAATCCCTGGTCCTGTAATACATAAGTTTGTAAAAGAAACATAGACGTTTCTAAGCTTTTCAAAGCCTACAGTGATGGTGGCCTTAAACCTGCAATGATGTCTCCGTTCTAGGTAAAAATTAATTTTCTCTGATTTCCCCCCTAAATATCAATAGAAATTCACCAAATTCTGTCATAATCATTGTGTCCCTGTACATTTTTCACTAGATTCAAAACTGCATAAACACAGCAATTGTACATTTAACTCTCCAAGAAGAGCTATCCTAGTGCTTTATTTTTTTGTTTTACTTTTTATTTTTATTTTTTTGTCTTTTTCCTTTTTATTGGTACCAGGGATCGAACCCACGACTGCCTGCTTGCAAGGCAGGCATTTATGCCGCTGAGCTAAATCCCCAGCCCCTATCCTAGTGCTTTAAACATAGAAAGCACAAAAATTCTGGTTAAATCCAACAATTGTAAATGGAGCTGGAAAAATCTCAAGAACATAAAAGCAGTATTTTTTTTTTTTTTTTTAAACTGGCATAGGAGTCACACCTGTAATCCTAGTACTTGGGAGGTTGAGACAAGAGGCCAGCATTCATGAGTCTGATGCCAGTCTGAGCTACACAGAGTTTAGGGCCAGCCTGAACTATATAGAAAGACTCTATATCAAAAGGCAAAAAACAAAAACAAACAACAACAAGAAGAAAAACAAAAAAACTTTCCACAAAACTTAAAAAAAAAAAAGAGTGGGACATGGTGGTACATGCTTAGAATTCCAGCATGCAGGAGGTTGAGGCAGGGGGATTGTGTCCAGTTCAAGGCCAACCTGGGCTACAAAGTGAGTTCAAGGCCAACCTGAATTGCATAGTGAGATGCTATCTCAAAAAGACAAAAAAGACTTAAAAATTTTTTTTAATTGTAAAAAAAGAAATTTTATTCACAGCAAGCTAATGCAATATATTTTTACATTTCTAATTTTACTCTCCAGTTATTATCTGAAATACTTAGGATAGAGAGGACCTGTTTTGCACCTTGCAGTTAGGAAACAAGAACAAGAGATAGGTACTTTAGGACTTAGACCTAAAAACCAGTTCTTCATTATTTGCTATAAATATTTAATCACTCTCAAAATTTTTCTTTGTGGTTAATAGTAACTTTAGAATCAGACAGAGCTTTCTGAATTCCAACTCTGACACTCAGTTATTTATCCTTGGTCAAATTGATTAATCAAGTCTCAAGTTTCTTCATCTGAAAAAAACCAAAAACCAAAAACACAATAGTTGTATATTTGATAGGGATATTAGGCTCAAACAGGTTAACATACTATACAGAAAGCATGGTATCTGGCATAATAAATAGGAGCTGCTGCTCTCTGTTGATATAGCGGAACAGAATCTGTCCCAACCAGACAGTGTAACATTGGGATGGGAAAACAAAACAGATAAAGGCAGAACAGACCATAGGGCAATTAAGAAAATGTCAGGGGAGGTTGCTTGAAAGGATCACTGCATTTTCATTAGGACTAAATTTCCCCTAAACGGTTATTTACACCACCATCCTGGAAGACTCACCGTCACTCCGTATTTGAGTGCCAGCCCAGCCAGGGTGTCTTCAGGCTTCAATTGATGCTCCAGGCGTCTTTCTCTTACAGGGGAGCAAGCTGATTGCACCAGGCTTCCATAAGAACGAGCCCGACTCCCTTGAAGCAGCCCAGACCCCCCGAGGGATGGCTGTCTAGAGGGAGAAGCCATGTCCTCACCCAGCTGGGCTTGCAGCTGAGGAAGGCCGGGCCAAGTGACGGCCTGAACTCAGGGAATGGATAATCAGGGAATTCCTATTCTCCGCTTCTTCTTTCCTGTGTCTCGCTGCTCTCCGCCGACTATGTCCGCGCTCTTCCCCTCCGGGCTTCTCCCACCTACAACCCTTACTCACAAATTTGTCTTCTGAATAATTGGTCCTTGTTACAGTCTCCACTTAACATCCCTCTTACTTTCGACCCTTACTCGCTACACTGACCTCTGACCTTTGAACTGCAGATACCCCGCTCAACACTTTTCCTCAGTTTACCCCCAAACCCAGCAGCTGGGCCTCAGGGCGTCCCCATATCTTGGCCCGGACTCGTCTCAGGGTTCGTACGCTAGGGTCAGGAACAAATTGGGCCTACCCTAGGTAGGCTACGGCCGCAGACAAAACGCGTGAGGATTTCGAGAGCTTGCAGTACACTTTCCAGTGTGAGATCCTCAAGGGCTCTCTTGCGCATCAGTCAGGTCACATCCTCAAACCCGGGCTACCCATCTGGGTTTTTGTCTCTTGAAAAGCCTCTAATCTCCCAAGATGCGACGGCCAGTATCCAGCAGAGCGGCAAATTTTTTGAAAAAGACTTCATTTCCCAAAAGGCTCAACACTTGCGGTGTCGCAGGGCACCATGGGAAATGCAGTCCGGGTAGCATGCTGGAGGCAGGCTTTCCGGATCGCGTGGCGCATGCGTAGAAACGCGCCCCGGAAGTGTGAAAACCGAATGGAAAGAGACCGGAAGAAGGAAAGGAGAGGTCCCACTGCTCCTACGGTGGCCCGAAGGAGTTGCCTGAGAGTATTGTGTCATTTCTGAGATTCAAAGTCGTTGATGTCTTTCAAGAGAGAAGGAGATGATTGGAGTCAGCTCAATGTGCTCAAAGTAAGCGCGAGTAGAGAATAAGGGCAAGGAAAGACTATGAAGAAGCATTGTTTTTTTTTTTTTTTTTTTGCTCTGGCAACTGCTTGGGAAAGGTAGTCAGGAAATCAAAACTGGGTAGTGATCCGTTCTCCATATGACCACTGTTCTTCCCTTGATGCTTATTCTTTATGACTCCTGTTAGTATTTCCCTTCTTCCCATCCGGATATGCTGCTGATCCCATCTGGACTTCTTTCCCTGTCTCTTGCAGAAACGAAGAGTTGGGGACTTGCTGGCCAGTTACATCCCAGAAGATGAAGTGCTGATGCTACGGGACGGACGGTGAGAGCAAGGGATAAATTAACATTGCGGTTAGACCCTCAACAAACTTTAACTATGAAGGAGAGGAGGGATATCTAGAATTTTTGGGGCGAGAAGTGAAGACTAGAAGACATGGAGACTGGGAAACCTGGAAGACTTTGGAAAGGACTTCTAGGACAGGGATGGAAAGATTCTCCCTATCTCCTTGAGCTTATTATTTTCTTCTCCTCCCTTCTTAGTTTTGCTTGTGCCATCTGTCCTCATCGACCTATCCTGGACACACTGGCCATGTTGACAGCCCACCGTGGAGGCAAGAAGCATTTATCTAGTAAGTCTCAGGGACGACAAGATAGAAAATAAACTGCAGACTATCCTTGCTGCTATGCTTTTAATTCTCATTCCTTTTCTCCTCAGGCCTGCAGCTCTTCTATGGTAAGAATCAGTCAGGAAAGGAAATGGAGCAAAATCCAAGACCACAGAATGAATTGAAGAAGGAAGGGACCAAACTTGAGGTAATCGGAGAGGGAGAAGACTGTTTTCCAAGAATGACCTTGCTGCACACAATACACTGGAAGAACTGTTCCCTCTTAAGACCTAACTTGGTCTCTTGTCTCTACCAGGCTCCTCTGCTAACCCAGACTCGACTTATCACCCAGAGTGCTCTGCACAGAGCTCCCCACTATAATAGTTGCTGCCGCAGGAAGCACAGGTCTGTGGGAAGGGTGGGAAACCTAGAGTAGGAAAAGACAGGAAGAGATAGATGGCCCTATGAGTACTCTTTTCCACAGTAGTTTGGGCATGGTGGTGTACACTCTAGGAGGCTAAGGTAGGAAGAGCACAAGTTTGAGCTCAGCCTGGCCAATTTAGTGACTTAATGGAACCCTGTCTCAGAACAAAAATGGGCTGGGTGTGTAGCTCAGTGTGAAGGCAGTAGATTCAACCTTCAGTACTGCAAGAAATAATTAAAGGAAATGCTTTCCAAATTGCATTCTAAGGAATACTAGTATTTTGGAGGAAAAAAATGATTTTTGAGATTTTAAATAAATTTTAGGAAATGGAGTATTGGTCAGGTGTGGTAACATCAGTAAACCCAGTGCTAGGGAGGCTAAGATAGAGTGGTAAATTTGAAGCTAGCCTGTGCAACATGATAGAAGACACTGTCTCAAAACCAAATACATAAAGAAAATAAAACACTGGTAATATTGGTATATTTTAAAGGCTGTACAAAATCCTTTTTTCTTTTGTACTTGGGAGTGAACCCAGAGCCTTTATACTGAGTTATATTCCCAGCCCACTCCACCCCCACTTTTTTTTTTTTGAGTTAAGGTCTCCCTGTGTAATTTAGGCTAGTCATAAACTTACTGTTTAGTCCAGGCTGGCCTTGAACTTAATCCTTCTGCCTCAACTTGCCAGCCCTTTTTATTTGTTATTTTAGAGACAGGCTCTCCCTAAGTAACCCAGGCTGGGATGAAACTTCCAGTCCTTCTGTCTAAGCATCCTGAGTAGTGGCTGGGACTATACCCATTTGCCACCATACCCAGCTATACAAAATCTTAAGGTTTAAATTTTTTTTTTTTTAAATTTTAGGATGGCTTTTCCCAAAGTTATACTCCAAAATCCTTTTTTTACCAGAACACTTATGAGGTGGGATAGTGGCACATTCTTGTAATCCCAGCATTCAGGAGGCTGTCAAGAGAATCCCTTTGAGTTTGAAGCCAGCGTGGGCTACATAGCGAGTTCAAGGTCAGCCTCAACTATATAGTAAGACCTGTCTTAAAAAACAAAGGAAATCCGTTCCAATACCTTGTTTAAAAAAAAAAAAAAAAAAAAAGGAAAATTTGTATTTTTTTTTTTTTTAATCGGTACCGGGGATCGAACTCACGACTGTCTGCCTGCAAGGCAGGCGCTTATACTGCTGAGCTAAATCCCCAGCCCTGAAAATTTGTATCTTAAGAAAAGTTTAAGAAACACTGCTTAGCACAGTGACCTGAGTTCAATCCCCAGTACCACAAGAAAGAAGAAAGAAAGAAAGAAAGAAAGAAAGAAAGAAAGAAAGAAAGAAAAGAAAGAAGGAAAGAGAAAAAAAGAAAGAAAGAGAGAAGGCGAGGGATTTTGCTCAGTGGCACAAGCACCTGCCTGGCAAGTGTGAGGTTGTGAGTTCAATTCCCAGTACAAAAAAAAAACAAAAAAAGAGACTGCTCTAATGAGTTGGAAGTCATAGAAGAGTTGGCCTTTTCCTTCACAGCTCTTACAGGCTTTGATTCTTCTCTACACAGACCAGAAGCCCCTAGTCCCTCTATCTCCTGTTCCCCTTTGCCAGCCCAAGAGATTGAATTCCAGAGTGAGAAGATCAGTAGGGAACCTGAGCCTAGGTCTGGCCTACAGGCTAAAGAGTCAACAACTGCCTCAGCCCCTGCACCCATTAGCCCCACAAGAAGACAAGCCCTGGACCGTTATCTCACTCTTCGAAGGTGGGTATTCCAATCCCTTTCCTCAGATTTTTCTCCTTGATCCCCTTTTTCTAACGTATCTGTTTTCCTTTTAATTTTAATTATTTTCAGACAGTGTCTCACATGTAGTCCAAGCTGGCCTTTAGCTAGCCCAGGCTGGTCTCAAACTTGCAATCTTCCTGTCTTAATGCCCCAAATACTGAGATTATAAGCATGTGCCATCACCGCCTGACTCTAGTTTTTCTTTTTTATTGCCACTAACTTTTTTTTTTTTAAAGACTAATCAAGTGCAATAGTGAGAAGGGGGGAAAGAGTAGAACAAGGAGTTCAATCTGTACTGACTGTGAACAATTAATTGAAATAAGTCACTACCTTCGGACCAGCCAACTTTTTTTTTTTTTGTCTCTTTCCTTTTTATCTGTACCAGGGATCGAACTCATGACTGCCTGGCTTGTAAGGCAGGCGCTTATGCCGCTGAGCTAAATCCCCAGCCCCGCCACTAACTTTTTAATAAACTTCTGTCCTAACCAATTCTGTTTGCTTCATTTCCAGCTCTGGATGGATCCCAGATGGAGAAGGTCGATGGGTAAAAGATGAAAATGTTGAGTTTGACTCCGATGAGGAGGAACCCCCTGATCTCCTGTTGGACTGACAACTTTCTACATTTGTTTCATAAATAAACTACAGTGGGCATTGGGAGCCCAACTTTGCTTAAGTCAGGTTCCTTGTCTAATCTCAGGATTTCAAATCTGTTCATTCTCAGCCTGACCACTCCCTCCCTGCAAGGTACACAGCTCCCCTACTTCTGCCCCCTCCCCCACTCTACCCCAAAGTCATGCCAAGCGTCAGCTGCACGTAGCCCGGTGCCCTATTAATAAGTCTGTCAGAAAGAAGTCCTTGCCCTTCATGTTGTTTTCCTCTGTTCCCAACTCCATTCAAAGTCCTTCCCTCTTCAGATCATAAGAGGACTCTGAATACGCCCTGGGGAAATCTGACCATATCTGGAAACAGAAATGAGTCCAAGAACCCTATGAAAGTAAGAAAGACTGAAGGCACTGGCAGGTTTATGGGGAACACCAAGGGACGCAGCTCCCCTACCTCCTAGTAACCTGAACCTCCCTGCCTGCTGATCCCCAGAGTATAAATAATCCCCTGATGAACTGGCAGTAACCCTTAGGGGTTAGTGCCAAGATTCCCACCCAAAAGCCCAAGGAAGGAGGCAGGCAAAGTGGACAAAAGGGCCTTTATTTACAGGAAAGGGGAAGAGATGAGGATTTATGAATCCAGGGCTTCCTGTTCTAGTTGGTAAAGGAAAGGGCAGTGTTATCTCTTCTTTTGCTGGCGACCTATATAGGAAGAAAAGTATGATCTTTCATTTCATCTCCTTTTGGCAAGTTCCTTAGCCAGATGCATATGGTGTTAGTGTTTGAGGCTCCCTGACACTACACTAACAAAATAAGAAGCCATAATAAAAGTATGTCTAGTTAGGTACAATAGTGCATGGCTATAATTCTATCATTGTGGGAGGGTAGGGTAGGCTTACAGAGACCCTGTGTCAAAATAAAAGGGGAGGGGGGTACAGTTCAATATGAAGGCTTTAGGTACTATCCTCAGTACTGAAGAGTTATCTAGCCAAGCACTGTGCATACCTAGCACATCTGCAATCCCAGCAGGAAGGCAAAGGCAGGAAGATTGTGAGTTCAAAGCCAGTTTGGGCCATATAGGAGACCCTTTCTCAAAAAACCAAAACAAAAACCATCTCATGAGGAGGCAGGATCAAAAGTTCAAGGTCATTTTGGGTAAGTTAGGGAGATCCTATCACAAAATTAGAAAAGCCTTAGTGGTAGTGTGCTTGGGTAGCATGCATGAGGCCTTGGGTTTGATCTCTGGTACTACATTAAAAACGATGTCTTTGCAGCTGGGGATTTAGCTCAGCAGCATGAGCGCCTGCCTGGCAAGCACGAGGTTGTGAGTTCAATCCTTGGTACAAAAAAAAAAAAAGTGCAGAGCCGGTATGGTAGTGCACACCTGTAATCTCAGCACTCAGGAAGAGGTGGGCAGATTGTCTTGAGTTCAAAACCAGCCTAGGCTATATAGTGAGTTCAAAGCTAGCCCAAACTACATAGCAAGACTGTCTTAACCCAACAAAGATGTCTAGGTTCTTTTCCATTTCTCTGATGGTATATATATTTGGAACAGGGACTTTTCTACATACTGTCTGATCTCTTGTAGGATCTGGGAGCCATCCAAGCTGTCACTAGGTCTTCTTCAGGGAGAACTCCCAGTTTCTGTACTATACCCTGCCCCCTGCCAATACCACGTCTGGAGTTGCTCACGTAGTTCGTTGTTCCTGGTCATGGCCTGGGCTGCCCGAGCTCGAGGCCCCTGTTGTGTAAAGTGGTAGCCAAAGCGGACAATAGAAGGACACTGCTCTAGCACGGTGGCCATTTCCATCTCCACTGCATCACCAGGCCACTGGCGCTGTCAGAGGGAGAAGCGGGGCTGTCAGCCATAAGTGGGTTGTTCATCCTGGACCACAGACCCCTTGGGAAGTCAAGAGTCTTTTTTTCACCAGAATAGGTGAAGAGAGGTTTCCCTCAGAGACAATGAAGAGGAAGAGTCAAACAGGATTAAAGGAGATAGCTGCCCTGTGGGGTGGCTCAGGGAGGAAGCCTGATGGGTATCAGTTGGATGCTAATACCAGGGGAAAGGGATACTGACCTGGTTGTCTACACGCAGTTCAGTGAGTGTGGAATTTTCCCGAACTGCCTTCAGCACAGCCATGAGCCCTGTGCTGCTAATGAAGTTGGACTCAATATTCAGGCTCTGGAGGCTACGGTTCTCACGTAACATGTCAGCCACCGCCTGGGTACCAGGGACTTGGGTTAGGATTAGGGAATAGTTGCACAGAGGAGAGAAAAAAATGGGAGCAAGAGGGAAACAGCTCTTTGAGAAGAGTCTAAGTGGGACTAGAGGGAGATAGCATGGGAAGCAGATGAAAACGGAGATTAAGCATGCAGTGGAACTGGGGGCATCAAGGTTGTGACCCTTCAGTACAATGATCTCAAGATTTGAGTTGTGAGCCCCAGGACTGAGGGTAGGGAGTCTCCATGATAGCAGCTTCCTAAGTAAGCATGGTGGAAAGAGTACTCTTAACACAACCATTTATGACAGCTCTCCTGGGAGCACAGGGTAAGGCAGAGGGAGAGTGCTGGGATGTCAACTAGCCTTACATGGGCGATGGGGTCACCACTCCTTGTGGCCACCAGACTGAAGCTCCGGACATAGGTATTCGTTTTCATTGCATCACACAGCTCACTCAGCATGGGTATTGGGATGTCCTATCAGACAGGCATGGAAACAGTGGAGTAAGGACTCTCCTCGGTCCAGAGTTACCCCTATGTTATTGTTAGGAAGATGGGAGTCAAATACCTGTATATTATTGAGATTCACCTCCTCCAAGTCCTTGTCGTTGCTTCGAACCCTTGTCAACATCTCCTCAATGTTTGTGGGATTTGGGGGCTCATCTGGCACTGGCTTATACTTGTCAGGCTGAACCACACCTGATGGGTGAGGGCAGGAAGGAACCCCAACATGTCCCCCACCATCTTTCCCTTGGTTCTCTTGTCACTCATGTGTCATGTCATCTCTTAAACCCCTGTTACCTTTGCTCAGGTTCTGAGGCTGCCCGCCTGGAGCCCTGGGGTCACGCTCCCCACACACTTACTGCTGATGCCTTCCGTGTTGCAGATTTCCCCACTGCAGATGGCATCATAGTACTGCTTGTTGCTCATCAATGTGTACATTCCCAGAATTGCTGCAGTGTATGAAAAGAGGGGTGCAGGGAATGAGAGGCGGTCTGTTCTAAGTCCTCATCTTGTCTCGATCTGCTACGGCCCATCCTTTCCATAGTTCCAAAGAGGTTTCCCACCTTCCCTCCGCTCTAGGCATCCCTGCCTTAGACTGCCTGATGGTTTCTATACCATTGAGCTGGAGTTCAGGAGTAATTCCTAAAGAGCCACTAGAGTGTGTGTAGATGCAGGTGGGGCAGAGCCCTATCTCAGATTTTAGCCAAAATACCTGTACTTTGATTTGTTTTTACAATCTCTTCATAAGCGTGGCTTATTTTGTGTGTGTGGGGGGGGTATGTGTGTGTGGCTGAAATGGTCTTGGGACATGGCCCAGGCAGGCCTTGAATTCACAGCAATCTTCCTGCCTTGGTCTCCCTAGTGCTGGGATTAGAGGTGTGTACCACTATGTCTAGTTTGAAAAAATGCTCTTGGGCTGGGGATTTAGCTCTGCGGCATAAGCACCTGCCTTGCAAGCAGGGGGTCGTGAGTTCAATCCCTGGTACCGATAAAAAAAGTTAAAAAAAAAATGCTCTTGACATGTTGACTTATTAAATTTAAAGATGAATTAATATGAAAACAAATAAATTAAAAACTATTGCTGGAAAAAAATAAAAACTACAGCTGGAGGCATTCTCAGACATCCACGTTCTAGGTCAGGGCCTTCCTTGGCAGTCCCTCAATAACGCAAGAATGCGCTCCCACCCTGAGCAACTTCCCAGCTGCCTACCTGCAATATCACACATTTCAGCATCAGTGGCATGGGCCAGTGCCTCTTCCAGCTCAGGCTCCAGCGTGATCTGTTCCTGTGCTGGAATTTCTCTTTTGGGCTGAATATAGGGTTTCCCTGATGGGAAGATGAAGGATGGTTCAGGTAGAGGTCATTTCTCCCAAGATCCTGGTTTCCAGCATCCTGTCCTTCTCCAAGAGGTACAATGCTGGGTCACTAGGGGATACCAGAAAGCCTGAATTCTTTGCCAGCTCAGGACTCCTGGGTCCCCCGACCTCTCACGAGAACCAAAGAGTACAAGCTGGCATGCAAGTGTCACAGTGCCCATGACCCTTGGCAGGTAGGAGCTGGAAGTTGAGAGGGGAGGAAGCTGAGGGGCGGCTTGTGAGAGATATCATTGGTTTTTGGGAGGCATGAATGGCACGGTGCCCATACCCTTCTTTTCTCCTGTGAAGGGCACCAAGTCATCACGTTCCTTGGCTTCTAGTGCCTGTTGCTCCAGGTACTGCAAAAGGGCCTCTCGGTCCAGTGGCCCTGTTGGGCTCTTTTTTGTCTGGTCACGTTGTCTTAGTCCAGCCGGCAGGAGCATGTTCTTAGGGATGAGTTTTGGGGAATAGGTCAGGTACCCCTCCAGGGCACCTCTAAGGCTCCCTAAAACATTTTCAGGTATCTTTTCCCTGGCCACCTTGGCAAACTCCAAGCCCTGTGGGTAGTCCTGGTCTCAGCCACCCAGCACCTATCACTCTTCCATAATCCTGGGGACTACTCCAAATCTCCTGTGCTGGGGTCCCTACCTCTGGGTCCATCTCCTGTAGCTCGCAGTCCAGTTGCTCTAGCTCTTCAGGGCTCAAGGTCTTTAAGATCTCATCTTCATCTATGTCTCTGTACTTCTCTAGTTCCTTCTGATATGATGACATAGTGGCCCCTGTCCCCTCTCCACTGTGACACTCAGAGCCTGGGAGGACATGGGAAAAGTAGTTGGACATGGAAAGATGGACACGGACACAGCAGGGATACAAAGAACCAGCCAGCATGAACACTGACTAGATACCCTGGCGCTTAGAAATGTAGTCGAGGATGGAAAGAGGGGAGGTCAGGTTGTTCAGAGTTAGAATGCAGTTTTCCCTCTACCTGCCTCCCCAGCAGCACGTCATTTTGGATGGGGATCCCAGGATCCAAAGAAGTTTTGTCATCTCACTATACGATGCAGAAATCCTGGTAACACCCCTCCCTGTAACCTCGCCCGTCAGTGCCTCTTGCCCTAGCACAGGTGCCGGAAGTTCTGCCAAAACAGGTGGCTCCATGCCCAGTAACTATTGAAAGGTGGGAGAGGGGTGGGACAGAACTTCAAGGGAATTTCTCTTCTTCTCTATTCACCCTTTTTTCTAAACTGGTTAAAGTGAGCAAGGACAGCTAGTGGCACTGGGCAAAAGGAGTCTCTACTCTACCCTTATATCCTCTTTTATTGTGGAAAGACCAAGATTTCACTGTCTGGTAAAATCCTAAATCCTAAAGAAAGGGCTGAGAAACTGAGGGACTGCCATTGGGGAAGGGCAATATGGTTTCAGGAAAAGAGATTTAGTCCTCACAAACTGTCACAGCAAGGTGACACCAGACCAATGGAGTGGAAAATATCTTCTAAATGGAGTAAGGTTTTTCTAAAATCAGCAGGAAAATTGAACTTACACAATCTTTTACAATATGAAAAACACAAGCTACATAGACACACCATGCTTAACGTAAAAGATCTAGAAAGTGTGTGGGATTTACACTTACAACACACAATTAAGGGACTGGACAGGACAGTGGCAGATACACTGACAGCAGACACATACTCCGTTATTCCCCATAAGAGCCACTCTCCTCCCATTCCACCAGGCTAACATAAGCCCCTTGCCTTCCCCACCTACCCGTCCTGACGACTATTTCCCTTCTGCTGGTCAGTCTGTCCGTTCCACTGGGCCACTGTCCTGCAGCAGAAGTCCAGTGCACGGAGAGGGTGGGGGAACAGTGAGCTCAGCATTTTATTATTTTAGCTCTGGCCAGGTGGGGGTTAGGGGGAGATCACATATACACAGCCCCCATACCCTGCCCAGCCCTGGGAGCCTCTAGTGGCCACCAACAGACATAGCACCTCTTCTGCTTCTCTCCATACAAGCTATTTCCTAGAGTTGAGTACTGTAAGAATCAGCTATTAGTTTCTACTCATTTGGTGCTGGCTACAGTCAAAATGGTGAATAAAAAGTAATAGAAAGAGGGCTGGGGATTTAGCTCAGCGGCATAAGCACCTGCCTTGCAAGCAGGCAGTCGTGAGTTCGATTCCCAGTACTGATAAAAGTTAAATACAGGAATTGTCTTTTGGCAGCTAAGTATAAGGTGTTTATAATTTAGTTGGAGGAATACTGCACAAGCAAAGACAAACTAGGGATTCATGCATCTGTAGTGCCTGTAACAGAGGACTGCTTGAGCCCAGGAGTCTGAGACCAATCACAGCAATACAGCAGGACCCCAAATCAGAAAAAAACAAAACAAGAGAAGTCATAAGTACTATCAAGCAAGAAGACCCAAATATACTCAGACGTTCACAAACACTTCTTATTCTCAACCCTACATTAGATACCAGATAAAACGGACCATCCCATTTTTATTAGATTTAAAAATGTAACAAAACCAGTAGGAACCAGGAGAAAAGATGGGGAAAAAAATAGAGACGACTTGGAAAAGATCAGAAATGATCAGTGAAAGAAGCAGGGAGACAGAAGGGAAGCTTAAGAGCCCGAGCCAGAGCAGAGGAGTGGTTTCTAAGGACCGGACATCTCTTCATTTAATGACAATTTTCTGGCGCAAGGCTCGGGGCCCTGTGCCAGGGAGGGGCTCAGGAGGTGGCGGCCCAGGGCCCAGAGATGAGGCAGTGGGCGGCAGTCCATGGGCAGTGATATACTTCTTGTAAGCCTCACGGATGATTTTGAAGGCCCGTGCAGTGGCATAGGGTATGTCTGTGACAGGGTCCCGGTATAGTGCCGGACGATGGGTCACTGGGCAGACCTCCCGAACAGGGATCTTTGGGGGTCGCCCTTGGGGGAACCATTCCTCAAATGTTGCATCATCACTAAATGTGATGAAGGTCCTGGAGCAATGAGCAGGAGGGATGACAGGTCCGGTCACAGCGTGGGAAGTCAATGCAGAAGCCACAGGAGCCGGATCAAGTCTGAGGGCAAAAGACAGAGAAAAACAACTGAGGAGAGGACAACAGATGCCATATAAAAAAAATCAGGGAGGAGAGAGAAAAAGGCAGAGTGGATGAACATTCTGAGAGAACCTACTAAAAAGTGGTAGACATGGAAAAAGTGAGAATAGAAAGAAAAATAAGAAAGGGAAAAGGGAGGCTAAGAGAAAGAAGGAGTTGAAGGGAGGGTGGAACCAGAAAGCTCTGCTAGAGCGAGGAGGAGCAGAGTGAGTGAAGCGGGCCCAGGAGGACACTGCTGATCACTCACCCTTCTACATCCACATTCTCCTCCTTGGGACCCGGCTCCCCAACAAGCGGCACTGTCATGGAATGGTAGGTGATTATGGGCCCGGGGCACTTTCGCTTCTTATGAACCTGTTTCTTTTTGTCAGCCTCAAGTCGCTCGTATGTCTCTGCAGAATCAAAGGGAGGAAGGAGGGATGGTCAGAGTTTTTCCTTTTCCCACATTCCAGTTCTGTCCTACGACCAGTCAGTTATCTTTCTGGGCATCGATTGTGTCCCCGCCAATGACTCAAGCCAACTCTGGATACCCCCAAGGCTACAGTGCCTCCAACCTCACAGGCTTCTGCCTCCCCCTCCTGATATCCTCTGCTCCTTTTTTCAAGGTCCTTACCCACTTAGAATTAGAGGATGCCACGTTGGAAGGGACCTGTGATGAGGATCCTGTTCATTTTCTGGATACCAGAATCTTCTCTACAATTACTCCATCAACTCATCTTTACAGAATTCTCCCCTATTCTGAGCTGAAACAGAATTCCTGACAACACTTTTACTGTGTGTGTGCTTCTGCGTGTTACTGGGAATTTAACTGGGGCCTTCATATTGAGTTACATCCCTGGCCTTTAAAAAAAAAAAAATTGGGGGGCTGGATATAGCTCAGTGGCACAGTGTTTGCCAGGCAAGTGCAAGGTTGTGAGTTGAATTCCTGGTACAAAAACAAAAAAAATTTTTGTTTAAATTTTGAGACAGGGTTTCACTAGAGCTTCTAAATTGTCCAGTGTGGAAATGAAGTTTTTAAGGCATAAAGAACACAAATCTAATCTGTCTTCAGTATCACAGTCCTTCAAATAGCTGAACTGAGCACTTTCAATAGACCTCACAAGGCTGATCACAACCCTTATTATCTAAACCACTCCTCTTCCCACACAGCGTTGAGAAACTCCCTCAATTTCCCACCCCTACGCCAGGTCTACTCCTCTATTCCTATAGCAAAGGCTGCAAGATGGGGTCCTCTCAAATGTTTGATCTGTGTAATGTTTTTGTTTCCAGTACTGGGAAAGAACCCAGAGATTTCACACCGAGCAACACTTCCAGGCATTTTTTTGAGACAAGAGTCTAAATCGCTCTGTTACCTAGGCCTGGCTCCAACTGTTGACTTCTTGCTTCATTCTCTCAGAGTGCTGGGATTCAAGTGTGCACCACCAACACCTGGTTTTGGCTCCCTTCCTTTTTTGTGTGATAATGGGGAGAAAAGCCAGAACCTTCACACTAAGCTACAACCCCAGTACTTCTCTTTATTTTTTATTTTATGACAGAGTCTCCCTAAATTGCTAAGTTGTCCAGGCTGGGCTCCAACTTGTGATCTTGCCTCAACTTCCCAGAGTGCTAGGATTACAAGCATGTGCCACCACATCCAGCTTTTATTTTTTCATTTTTTGTCTTTATGAGACAGGGTCTCACTACACAGTTCAGGCTGGCCTTGAGCTCACTTTGTAGCCCAGCTGGCCTCAAATCTGCAACGATCCTCTGCCTCAATTATATGGTATTTTAAAGAAAAACAGAACTAGTTGCTGACATTAATTTAAAAACTAGGAAATTGAAGCCAGGTGCAGTAGCACATATCTGTAATCCCAGAACTCTGGGAGGCTGAGGGAGGAGGACTGCCAGTTCATGCCTACCTTAGGCAATTTAGCAAGACCCTGTCCCAAAATAAAAAGTACAAATGGCCTGAGGATACTGGTCTGTGTGAAGGCTATGGGTTTAATTCCCAGTAAAAACCTCCCCTTCCCAAATTAGGAAATTACACTGAAAGATTTCTGGTTTCTCTTGAAAAAATAAAGAACTTTGAGGACCCTGGGCCTACATTTACACAGGGCAAGGGCAACAATCAGCTGAGTAAAGTAACTTTTCCACAGCAACAATCAGCTGAGTAAAGTAACTTTTTCTTTTTGAAATTCCTCCAATTCACCTTAGCCCATGTGGCAGATTGCATTCTGCTACCTGTCTGGACCCCGGTACACTGCTCCATGGCAATGATTGTGGCCATATATGTCTCCTACTTAAGAGCAGTGACCATGACTCATATTAGGTATCAGACAGTACTCCACTATCATAGGCACCCTAAATATTTTTAATAAATATATCAAAGTATTACTGAAGCCTTTCCTATAAATGAAGTTAAAGCTTTTGTTTTCAAAATTTTTTCAACTATTTTGGGGAAAATAAAATTTCATAATAAAAATTAACAGCAGTTAATACACTGTGTATCATTATCTTCAAAGAAGTTACTTTTTTTTCTCTTTTGTGACACTGGGATTGAATTGAGGCCCTCATACATGCTAAGCAAGCATCCTACCACTGAGCTACATCTCTGGCATTATTTAACTAACTAATTAATTAATTAATTTATGGTACCAGGCGCTTACACTGCTGAGCTAAATCCCTGGCATCCCTGAGCTTTTAAAAATTTATTGTTATATTTCGTTTCTATACTGTACTTATTTAATTTTATACTACAGCGCATTGAACCCATGGTGTTTCTCACTGAGCTGCAGCTGCATTCCCAGCGCGTTATTTTTTTAGACAAGGTCCTTGCTAAGTCACTGAGTTGCCCTGGCTCGGCTTGAACTTGTGATTCTCTTGCCTCAGTTTCTTAGAGGGTTGGGATTAGAGGAATCTGTCATCACACCCAGCCTCTGGTTCCTCTGTGTAGGTACTGAGAACATAACCCTCTAAGTCTGACTATAAAGGGGCCAGGGATTTAGCTCAATGGCACAAGGGCCTGTCTAGCATGTGTGAAGTTCAGTTTGATCTTCTGTACATTAAAAGAACAAGAAAGACAGAAGACCATAAAACGTCCCCTGGGTATCCCTTAGGTGAGTGAACTTCTTTTAAACTCTTATTGATAATGTTGCTTTCTTTCCTGTGAGTCAAACTTCTAACACTTCTCCATTCAAATACATCTTTAGAGGGGCTAGGGATTTAGCTCAGCGGCATAAGCGCCTGCCTTGCAAGCAGGCAGTCGTGAGTTCAATCCCCGGTACTGATAAAAAGGAAAAAGACAAAAAAAAAAAAAAAACCATCTTTAGGCTGTGGGATTCCAGCTCTATCAGCCAGTCCACACTTGTCCTTGAGCTGTTCACTCAGCATTCCTTATACCTAGAAACCAGGCAGCCCTCTGGTAGAGACGCTCATTCGATCACATTCCTTGCAGATTACAGCTGTGGCCTACTGAGCCCCTTCCTGTGGCTTTCAGGTCACTGCTCCCGCCACTCACTGTGTATGTTCTTCTTGAGACCAGTGCTGGCAGTCAGAACACCTCTTCCTTGTCACAGCCACTCTCTTATTCGCTGAAGACCTCAACTCCTGCCATCTTAGGTTACCCTGGTGGCTTTAAAGTCTGCCATCTTGGGGCTGGGGATTTAGCTCAGCGGCATAAGTGCCTGCCTTGCAAGCAGGCAGTTGTGAATTCGATCCCTGGTACCGATAAAAATGAAAAAGACAAAAAAATAAAAATAAAAAAAAATAAAGTCTGCCACCTTGTTATTACCTGTGGCCTGTGATAGTTCTCAACTGCTTTGGAAGATAACTACCATTTAAAAATCCTGAATAACTATTATGAACATTGAAAATTATGAATGCCAACCAAGTATGGTGGTGCATACTTGTAGTTCCAGCTACTAGGATGCTGAGGCAAGAGAATGCTTTGAGTTCATAAGATCAAGACCAGCCTGACGAATATAGTAAATTCTCATCTCAAATAAATGATAAAATTATAATTTTAGCGTCAATATAATGAGTGTTCCCCTCTCACCCCGCCCAAACACTGAGAAGTAACTTACCACTAAGCTATAATCTCTACACCCCCTTTTTAGGACAGGATCTCACTATGTATTTCATGCTGGCTTTGAACTCACTATGTAGCCCAGGCTGGCTTCAAACTTGTGGTGATCTTTCTGCCTCAGTCTCCTGAGTGCTAAAGACTAGGAATGTGTCTCT